AGGAGAGGTAGTATAGCCAGGATGAGAAATTTTAATAGCATCATTAATAGTTTTGAGTTAAAAGAGGTGCCTTTGTTGCATGGTTTGTTCACTTGATCTAATCTTCAGGAAAACCCTATATACTCTAAATTGGATAGTTTTTGTTCACAGCAAACTGGGAGGAGCACTGGGGGCTGTTATTTCTAGAGCACTACCTAGGATTACTTCAGATCATTGGCCCACTATTTTAGTGAAGGAGGATCTTGGTACTAGAGGGCCTACACCTTTCAGATTTGAGAACATGTGGTTGTCTCACCCAGGGTTTGTTGAGTTAATTAAGAGTTGGTGGAATGACTACAATCTAGGGGCTAATTGGGAGGGTATGAAATTCCATTGGAAGTTGAAGGAGTTAAAAAGGAGGATCAAGGACTGGAACACATTATAGTTCGGAAGGATTGAAGAGAGGAAACAGGCAGTGATCAATCAAATTGAGGAGTTAGATGCCAAAGAAAAGGRGAGTAATTTTGGAGAATGGGACAAGCAAGAAAGATATAACGTCAGGAAACAGCTAGAAGACACCTTGTACAAAGAGGAAGTTAACTAGAGGCAAAAATCTACGCATAAGTGGGTGAAAGAAGGTGATAGAAATACTAAATTCTTTCATGCAATGGCTAATAGCAGGAGGAAAAGTTTGATTCATAAATTGGAGGTTGATGGGGTGTCTTTTACTCAGCCGGATGAGAATGCTAGGGATTTTTTAGAGCACTTCAAGCATAGTTGGCAAGGCGACGCTTGGCGACTATGCGGTTTTTTATGGTCACCTCGCCCAAACGCCCCAAATTTTATATATTAGGCACCCGCCCAGAAACTTAGGCGGGTGCCTATAATACATATATAAAATTATTATTATTTTTTTAATTTATTGGTTTGATATTTTATTGGTGGTTGTATTCTTTTAAAATACATCTGCTACATAGTATCATTTTAATATTAAAACAAGTTAAAAGAAAACCCTTTGACAAAAGGGTTTTAGTATTAAGACAAAAGGGTTTTCTTTGTTCGATTGGAGAGGGAGGAGAATCGAACCGAGCGTCCAAGCCCCAGCCCAACTCCATCGCACCTCAGCTTCAGCAGCGACAGGTAAGTTCTTCTTCTTCTTCTTCTTCAACATTTTTTCCTTTTTTTCGAAAAAACAGTCCACCAGGCCAGGCGCCAGTCCTCCCTTCTTCTGTAGTCACTTCTTCTTCTTCTTCAAATTTCAGTTGAAAAAACAGGGGCTCCGCCGAACCTCCTTTTCTTTTTTTTTTTTTGAAAAAACAGGGGCGGAGCCCCTTTATTCCTCTCAGTAGTCAGTCCTCTCTCCACTCTTCTTCTTCTTCTTCTTCTATTCCACCCCATGAGGCCATGAGTCCAACAGTCGTCCGCCCCTTGACTCCTTGAGTTGAGTACATTCTTTTGTTTTTTTTTTTTTTTTTGAAAAGCTGAGATTTGAAATGTTTTAAGTTTTATTTTGTTTCATTAATGTTTTTTTTACATGGCTGAACTACTCTAATGCTCTTTTATTTTTTTATCAGTTTTGTTTTGATTGTATGGCTGATTTTTTTTTTAATTTCTATTTGTATAGAAGCATATTGCAATATTTGCTGATTTGCATTATGGTTGCTTGCTTACTTAGGATTTAGGAAATACATGAATATTGCAATATTGAATTTTCTGATTTGCAATATGCTTTATTTTGAAAATCKGAATTCTGAAACTTGATTGTATGCTATGCTGAATTGATTATGCTTAGTGTAATGTGTAGCTAGTAAGCAAATATAACTTATAAAATAGTTTAGGTCCTTTAGGAAGTATAAAAATCTACAGATTTTAAATTTATAGATTCCATCGCCTAGGCGCCCCATGGTTGCCTAGCCTCGCCTAGTCGCCTTGACACTATGACTTCAAGTCAATTTATAGAAGACCCTTAAATCAGAGAATCTGGGTAAAAGGGTTGGATTGACCGAAATTGTTTGAGGAGAAGAAGAGGTGRCTGGAAAGGAAATTTGAGCTAGAGGAAATTAGGGAAGCAATCTTTTCGATGGATAGACCTAAAGCATCGGGACCTGATGGATTCACCATGGCTTTTTACCAGGACTGATGGGAGATACTAAAACAAGATATTATTGAAGTTTTCAAATGAATTTTTCCAGAGGGGGTAATAAATTTGGGACTGAACTAAACTTTTATTGCTTTGGTTCCAAAGAAAGTGGGTGCAAGTCAACCGAGTGAATTTAGACCCATCAGATTGGTGAATAGTTTGTATAAGATAATTGCTAAGGTCCTGTCTAGAAGAATTAGAGAGGTGCTTCTAGATTTAATTTCTCAGAATTATTGAGCCTTTGTGCGAAACAGACAGATTGTGGATCAAATATTAATAGCCAATGAGTGTGTGGAGGATCTGAAGAGAACGAGGAGGAAAGGGATTGTATGCAAGCTAGATCTAGAGAAGGCTTATGACATGGTTGATTGGTCATTTTTTATCCAAGTATTGGATTGTTTTCGTTTTGGGGAGAAGTGGTGCAAATGGATATTGGGATGTATTGAGTCTTGTAATTTTTCTATCCTGGTAAATGGAGCTGTAGTGGATCACTTACTTAGGGGAATTAGACGGGGGGATCCCCTCTCTCCCTTCCTCTTCACTTTGATTGCAAAGGCATTGGGGAGGCTAATTGAGAGAGAAGATTCGAGAGGTCTAGTGAGGGGGTGGAGGGTCAGAGAAGCTAGCGTACCCATTACCCACTTACAATTTGCTAATGACACTATTTTGTTCTGTGAGGGGGAGAATGTGAGATGGGCCAGAAATTTGAAGCTGGTGATTCAAGTTTTTGAACATATGTCAAATATGAGGGTGAATTTTGATAAGAGCTGTGTGGTGGGGCTGAATATGGAAGAGGGAACTACAAGGAAAAGGGTAGAAGCTTTGGGGTGTGTGGTGGCTCAATGGCCTATGAAGTATTTGGGGCTGCCCCTTGGGGAAAATTCGAAGAAAAAGAATTTTTGGAGGCCTGTAATTGATGGTTTCTAAAGAAGTTAGCCTATTGGAAGAAGAATTATTTATCTCTGGGTGGCAGAATCACTTTGATTAAATCTACATTGGCAAGTTTGCCTGTGTATTATTTATCAATCTTTAGAATCCCAGTGAAGATAGTAGAATTTTGGAAAAGTTTATGAGAGATTTTTTGTGGGAACCAGGGAAGGAAAAGAATGATCACGGGRTAAATTGGGAATTGGTCTCTAAAAGTAGGGCTGATGGAGGTTTGGGTTTAGGTAATATTCGAAAGAAAAATGAAGCTTTGTTGGGATAATGGCTGTGGAGGTTGGAAAGTGAAAGGGGAAAGCTGTGGACTAAAGTAATCTTGAATATTCATGGTAAGGCAGAGGATGGCTGGGATATAGGGACTTCGGCAAGATCAACTAGTGCCTCTCCTTGGAAATCCATACATGCAGTTCTACCCTATTTTCTGCAGCATGTCAAGTATGACCTTTGCTCTAGGAATAGGGTCAAATTTTGGGAACAAATTTGGGTGGGTGAATTACCATTGAAAGAACAATTTCCTTCCCTTATTTCACTTTCTCRATATAAAGGCATAGTTGTATCTAGATTTCCAGTTCCTTCTCAATCCAATTTTGGGTTTGATTGGGATTTGGGGTTTAGGAGAGGCTTAAGGGATTCAGAAACTAGAAGTGTGCTGAATTTGATTCAAACCTTAAATAAGGTGGTGTTGGATCCCTATGAGAGGGATAAGAGACTGTGGACTTTAACTCCTTTCGGGTCTTTCTCTTGTTCTTCCTTTTTCAAATCCCTTTTTCCCTATAACAATGACCCTTTCCCGATTAAGGAAGTTTAGAGTGAGCTGATTCCTCCAAGGATTGGAGCTTTCTGTTGGGAAGCTATCTTGGGAAGATGTAACACATGTGACTTACTCCAAAGGAAAAGGCCGTATTGGTGCTTGTCTCCGAGTTGGTGCATTCTCTGTAAGGCCAATGGTGAAAGCTCCTACCACTTGTTAATTTCTTGCCCTTTTGCTTCTACTATTTGGGAATGGTTTCTTTCTCTTTTTGGTTGCAGGTGGACCCCCCGTCAAACATCCAAAGTCTTTATAGTTCCCCATTCTTTAGATGGCCTAAAAGAAGGGGAAGGATTATGTGGAGATGTGTAAGGGCTGCTTCATGTTGGACTTCATGGGAGGAAAGGAATTCCAGAATTTTCTCCGAAAAGAAAAGGAGCAAAGAAGGAATTATTGAAGCCATAACAGTTAGGGTGGTGCATTGGCTAAAATCAATGCAACTTTTTTATGATGTGTCTACTGATATGTTGTTGAATAGCTAGGTGGAAGTGGTCACTTCAGCTTGGGCTCGGTCTACGGCTTCTCCGGTGTGGTCACCACCTAGCAATGGCTTTATAAAGATAAATTTTGATGGGAGTAGTGAAGATAACCCAGGCCCTTCAGGTGTAGGAGGTGTCTTCAGAGATGAGGAGGGGAAAGTGTTGTCATTGTATTCAGGCTCCATTGGGATTGGGGATTCTTTGAGAGCTGAGATCTATGCTGTATTGGAAGGTATTAGAAAGAGTAAGGAACTGAATATACAAAAAATAATTATTGAAGGGGACTCAATGTTGATGTTGAACTGGCTGCGAAGGAGAAATGGTCTTTGGAAGTTCGCTAATGAAAGAAAGGAAATCAAGGGTTCATTTGTACTGAAAGAAAGGAAATCAAGTGGTCTTTGGAAGTTCGCTAATGAAAGAAAGGAAATCAAGGATTCACTGGTGAAAAGAACAGCAAATGCCTTTGCAGATGCTTTGGCAAAGCAGGGTGTGGGAAGGGTTCATTTGTACTGGGCTGTATTGTGAGCTTGTTGTTGCTTTCTTGAGAGTGTTAAGCCTTTTTAACTCTCTCTGATTGCTGTACTATTGTTTATATATTAATTTAATGAAATTTTGTTATTGATAAAAAAGAAATAGGTGGGAAAAATTTTACCTTTGCATCATTGCGCACATATTGAATACCATGCCCAGGATAAATAGTGGACGAACAGAACCAACATTTCTCTAATCTCATTGTGGGCCAGGATCAGGATCAAGCAGCTCTCTACAGTGAGGAAAAAAAAAACGTAAGACAGAAACCAAGCATTAATAAAAAGGAATATGATATTTCAGAAACAATGAATGGAGGAGCAAGCACAGTTGTAATACATTATTATTTAATGTGAAAAGTCTACTAATGAGTCTCTCATAACACCTGGGTTATAGTTGACATAAGTATTCTTATCAAGTACAAACTAGGCAGGTCATTTCCAGCACAGACATGGCACACATTTTAAAATGTCCAYGTAAGTTTGGTTTCAATAACCAAGTTAACTACCTTGAGGAAAAAGCTACTAATTTAGAATTGGAACCTATAAGAAAGAGTCCGCTTGCAAGCTTTGCAATTTCCTTTGACAGAAAGGGAACATGCAGTCCCTCTTCAAGAGGCTGCTCTCCCTCTCCTTATTGCAAGTAACTCCTTCCAGGTCTAACAAAGAAATTTTTTTGGTTAATAAGTAAACATGTTCCATTAAAAAAACAAAGGTTCATTTGGTCAATGGGTTTTACCAAGCAAATGAAAACATGCATCCAAATTGGCATACAAAATCAGAATCCAAATTCAACTCAAACACCCCAATTAAATAAACCCAATGTTGACCACATACTAGCCCTGCATGCCTCTCTACTCAATTCTCTGAGTTCTGGATGAGCTAAAGACTTGTCTACGATCAAGGAGCAAATTTAATCAGTAAATGGGTGAAGAAAAATGCCTGGATAAACTCCACCCAACAACAATGAATGAAAAACTGTCTTTTTTTTTTGAAAAATGATGATTTGTATTAAACAAAAGGAGGGTGTACATGAGAGGATGTAGAAGGGCCTTGGCCCTTGAAAGAACAAAAGAAACAAGAGCCCAAATTATTTGGTAAAGCATCCTATTTACACTATACAAAACATCCCTTCGCAGCCCATGTTTAGCTAACCTATCAGCCACTTGATTCAGATTTCTTGGGATCAATCTGAAGCTGCACAACTTCTTGGATTTCATGCAAGATGTGGGACAGTTTCCAGGGGCCAGAAACCAGGGCTTTAGCCCATTTTATAGCATTTCTAGAATCTCCTTCCACTTTTCCCAAGAAAAAGAATCTAACTGCTAAGGCCCCGTTTGGCATCAATTCTCCTGTTTCTCATCCYCGGAATCCATCCAGAAAAGAATGGATTCTGGATTTTTTGTATTCTAATAAACTGTGTAGGTGTTTGGTATAAAGCTCTAATTCTCATTTCTCGGAATTAGAATGCTGTTTGTCATGATCCTGTTTCTTTGGATTAATTCTCTAATAGTCTAACTGACAATGAATAAACATCAGTTTTTTTTTTTTTTGAAAAGGTAAGGTAATTTATTAAAACAAGAACCAGTACAAAGGAGCCTGGGCCATTAGAGGCTGCCTAGAGCCACCACAAATTACAGATGCATCCAGTTCTAAGATCTAAACAACAGACTCAAATTCTGATTTTTAAACACCTCCATTGCCGACACCCAGGACAGAAGTTTACCCACAGCTTTCTGCACCATTTCCACTGAAGATTTAGCTTTGCCCTGAAAAATTCAGTTATTTCTTTCAATCCAGATAGTCCAAAGCACAGCAGCCGGGATAGTCTTCCAAACCAAGATACCTTTCTTGCTGAGACCCTCAATCTGCCAACACAACAGCAGATCCTTCACAGAATTTGGCATTACCCAGCTGATTTCCAAAGCTTGAAGAAAATGCCTCCAAATATAATTCGAGACTGGGCAATGTAAGGCCAGATGTTCAGTAGTTTCTACTACCCCACCACATAAACCACATGACATGTCCGAAATCTGTATGCCACGTTTCACTAGATTAACTTTGGATAGACATTTATTTAAAGCCATTGTCCAGAGCAAAAACTTCACTTTAGAAGGACTGATTGAGCTCCAAATCTGCCTGTTGCAACTAGTACCTATTTGTCATTAGAGCTCCTAACTTCATCTCCCTTCCATGTTCYATGTAAACCTGTCAACAGGTTGGTATGGAGCTGAAAGCTGAGTGAGAAATGAACATTTGAAGACAAAACAGTGATTGGAGAAGAACCAGGTAGCATCAAAAACCCTTATTAGCTGCAATGGAGTTTCGATATTCTCAACAGATGGTGATCCTATGCAGTGGCAGCAACACCTTTTCCTCCAATCACTTGACAGAAATGGGTTAGTAACACTATACAGTTTCTGTATGCTATGAGTCTAATATCTCTCTGACAAAAACCAGAAAAATACCCAAACTTGTATTTATTTGTTTCAGCCTTCCTGTTTTAGTGTTATATTTCCCCTTCTTTCAAGAAATTGGGCATGAGAGAAGCTGAAGTTCTTTTCCACAAAAATCCACGTCTGAGGTCTGCATCTTTGGAATTCCTTCGCACCCGACTTCTTACACTGCATTCCGTTGGGATTGATGGCTTTTCTCTCTGTCGCTTGATTACCAAACATCCTGATGTACTAACGGCAGAAGAAATAGGTCCGCTGCTCTGCTTTGTTCGGGATGAGCTGGAAGGTCATCAAACCCTTAAAGCTCGAAAGTCTTTTAACTGTTACAGATCCCCAATTCTTCATGGGTTTTCCCGGGAAGGTTACTTTGTTGCTTGATCATGGAATTCCCTGCCAAGAGCTAGCTCATGTTCTCAACAATGTCAATCTCACCAAGGTGTTCTGCCATAAACCAGCCAAAGAGATCGAAAAAACTATCCTTTTCCGGGACCAGTTTGGTGGTGTCGATTTGATCTTTCGACAGCCTGGGCTTCTTAATTTGGACTTGCAGCAAACTGATGCTCTGCATACCATTAACAGATTTGTGCATTGTGCACTAGAGCTTGATAAAAAGGTCATTTGTAGATAGAAACAAATGCAGGAGCTTGGTGCCGGGAATGATGCCAATTTGTGCATTGTGCACGAAAACGAAAACACCATTCTCAAATGGTCGGAGCTTGGTGCCGAGAGTGCAGGAGAAGCTAAAACTGATATTGTTATTACTATTAATTTGGAAAAAGGGAGTGCAGATGTCCAGAGCTTGGTGGTGGCAAGTTGAATGGTCACCCAAGAAGAGAATAAACATGGTTTTGAGCCATTGAGGGAGAATAGTAGAAGAGAATCGTTTGAATGATGGGGGTTAGGCTTTTTTTCTCCTTTGAATGTTCTGATTTCATGTGAAATTACAATAATACACCTCTTCTCACGTAGGACATGTAAACATGTATTCGTTATTTTAAAGGGGACGTAGCGAGAATTGGGATTCCAAGAATCCTCATTCTCAGAAGTGATAAATTTTCACTTCTTCCTCCTGTTTCTTACAAATAAATATTGGGCAACTGAAAATCTCTTGATTTGAAATGGTACAATGTTAATTACATTCCAATGCTAACAAATCGTGATGATGTAGGGCCAGAAAGGGGAAGCTTTACTAGGTTGAACATGGTGGATAAAGAAGGGGAATTAAGGATCTGAATTATGTGGAAAAAATTCAGATCAGAATAGAGGAGAGAACATCAGAGAGAGACTGTAAAGAGAGAGAAAGAAGAAGATAGCACTCTTACTAACTCCAAACAACTTTCTGTCTTATTAGTTTAGCCCCTGTTTGGGAGAACTTATTTTAAGTACTTATCTATACTACTATTAAAAGTGTGAATGAGAGTGTGGAACTTTAGTTTGACTAAAATCCCCTAATTTTTTAATTTGGTCTCTGAATGAGAGCAGGATCTCTTATCATTTTTCTAATATTTTGGGGCAGGGGTTTGGTCTTTGTTGGAAATGGAAAACATAGAGGGGCTAATTGATTGTATTTTGTTTTATTTATTTTTCCTTTTGAGGGAGATGGATTATCACTGATTTGGATGTAACTTTCTATGTTATTTTAATTGTTTGAATGGTCTATATTATCAGCCATTCCAATGTTTTTATCAATAACTACAAATTTGATTAATAAATTAAAAGAAAGTACATGAAGAGCAAAAAAAAAAAAAAAGAGGAGAGATAAGCTCTCTTAACTCTCCTCAAAAGTTTATAACAGTGTTACAATTGAACCCAAAAAAGTTGGTTTCTTTCCACCCCTTGCTTTGCATTAGCAGTTCTTTTAAACCATCCCATTCTCACATCCATGTCTTGTGTCAGCCATTTGAATTTCTTTCTTTCACTAATGTAGTTCCAAAATCCAGCTTCTTCCTTTTGCAGCCATCCCACCACCAGCTTTGAATCACCTTCTATAATCAACCTATTAATGTTCATGTGCCTTCCCTTTTCACTCCTTCCATTAGAGCCAAAATCTCAACCCATAAAGAATCACCTACACCAATTGGCCCTGAAAATAAACCAATAATTCTACCTTCCTCATCTCTGAAAACACCTTCAATACCTGATGGACCTGGGTTCCCTACACTACTCCCATCAAAAGTAACTTGACAAAGACATTGGTGGAGACCATGATGGGCTTGTAATAGACTTATGTCCAATTCCTTAGAACAAGCCACTTCTTTCCAATTTCTCATCATGTCACCTTAGAACAAGGCCCCCCTTCAGCTAGTGCTATGCATCTTCATTCTTCTTAATATAAAAGATTTTATTAAAAAAAAAAAGAAAAATGAGATCCTCCTTCCTCTTTTCCTCCTCCCCTTCCTCCCCCTTCTTCCTCCTCATCCCCCTCTTAAGGAAGCTTATGCCTCTTATGTTCTGAACTACGCCTCACGCCTATAGGTAGTGCAACACCTCGTGTCACGCCTCCGTGTTTTAAAACATTACTTGTTTCCTTGTCAGAGAATTGAATATCCTTAAATTCATTTCCTCCCATATGGTCCAACTCATAGTAGCCCTTAGACATCTCCACATTGTTCTTCCCCTTTTGTTTGACCAACTAAAAAATGTAGAGGCAAACAAACCTTGCACATTTGGTAGGAGAGTCCACTACACCCAAACAACAAGAAAAACCATTCCCATATAGAATTTACAAAGGGGTAGGAGATTAATAAGTGATGGGAAGTTTCTCCATAAACCTTACAAAG